CGTCTTCCCCTTTGCCATGCTTCTAGGGTTTAATCGAGTGGGGTTTTTTGATGACTCTGTTTGGAGGCTTGGCTTTGGCTAACCCTTGCCACACCGCGTTAATCGTCCTGGTCGGGATGAGTGAAACAGTTAATTGAAGTGGGAGACTCTCCTGGAGGTCGGGCTTGTAGCGGTGGGGATGGAGCACCAGGAAATAAAAGGAAAGCAAAGGACTGTTAAGAAGAAATGGAAAAAAAAAACTACTTAGGCTGGAAAGGCATCTTCCCAGCAGGAGCGAGAGCCCAAAACATGCAATGTCCGTGGTGTTTCATGTTTCACACATCCTTCTCTGGGGCACGAGAAGGGGCAGGGAGGGAAACGGGTCCGACCCGGGCAGAGCTGTTCATTGAGCTGCTGGATGCTGGATGGTGCAAGAGGGACAGAATGCAACCGCAAGCGAGCGCAGAGGAACAATCAATTAGCACAGGCTCCGTTCGAAAGAGTTGGGGGGAATGGTTGGTAAGGAGCAGGTTTTTTTTTCATTCCAAGGCTGGGGGCCTTTGAAAGCTGCCACTTCAGGAAGCGAAAGCCTCGGCAAGTGGTCAAAACCTCGAGCGATTCATAAGCATCTCTCTGCCAGGTGCCTCTCCTCTTGGAGCCTGCAGGTCTCGTGCGAGACTCCCCATTGGGTGTCTGGGGAAGGAACGCGCTCGTAGAGCCCCTCAACAGGAGAGGAGACCCTGGCCCGCACGGCGGTGCCATGCTAGGTGTCTTTGCAGCAGCAGGTTGCAGGGAAGCGCTTTCTTTTCCCCCAGGGCGGTAGCAGAATGGGATGCAGCATCCAGGCCTTGCATGTGTTTGCAGGACCAGGAGCAGAACTCTCTCCTGCCCCGGGAGCTGACAATATCTCGTGGGAGGGGGAGAAGGGAGGCATTGTCTGTCAAGATGCTGTGCTAATCTGCCATTCAGGGCCACTCTGGAGGCTTGCTGAGGATTCTTTATGCATTTTCATTGGTATGCCCCTCTAGCTATCGTGAGCCTGTAAGAGTAATGACAGGATGCTTGAGGGCGTGTAAGGTGTGGTGCCGGACAGGGCCATTGGAGAACCTGGCAGTGATTGCCACAGTAGCGGGAGTTGTCCGATGCCACTGCCTCCACGGGCAGGACTGTTGGCAGGGACCTCTCCTTCGCCCTCCCACAGAGCCACGTCCAACCCATGGCAGAGAG